GCCCAGGGCTCCGCTGCGGTAGCAGTTGACAGAGCCCCGGGCCCTTTAAATCTCTACCAGAGCCCCAGGGCTCCCGGCCACCGCCGCTACCCCAGTTAGCAGTTAGCCCAGGAACTCTGACAGAGGGGAAGACATAGAATTTGCTGAAGTTGTGAATAATAGGCCAGATCCTCAGCTGTTGTATATCGGTGTTGCTCTATTGACTTCAGTGGAACTATGCCAATTTACATCAGCTGAGGGTCTGGCCCTAAAAGTCTAGTTGATGCAGGGAATAGGAAGAGGAGTGATGGGTCTTACCCAGAAAAAGAATGTCTCAAAATATTGCTCACACGTTTCCCATTCTCCTTCACTTCTGCCTCTTACTGTCAGTTCTGCTACCTGAGGCCGGGTGGCAGGTCTGGGTTGGGTCCATCAAGGTGCTCATTGTTCATAGCCATGAGGTATCCTCTCCATCCTCTTCTTTTTTTTCCATTGCTTCTCCTTATCTTCATGCTTATAGCTGTTCCTTCTCTCCCAGCCCACTGTCTGTCCGTCCTCTCCCTCCACAGTGCCCTCTTCCTATCCCTCCCTCACTGAGTAACCAGGGTGTTAGGCTTGCAGCCTAGGGTTGCCACCTGCTCAGGTTTTCCCAGGATTGTCCCTTTGTTGAGGTAGCTGTCCTGAGGAATCTGTAATGTTGCATAGCACACACTGCCACCTGTCCAGTTTTAAGGGCTCAGGATTATCCTGGGTGCCCTCAGAGGTGGCAACCATATGTCCTTCTCAGAGATACTGCTAGTCATGCACCACGCCTGGTGCTTAGGGTGATGCTCCGGAGCCGCAGGAGAGACTGAGAGTTAATCTGAATGCCCCCCGGCCCGAGGGCTGGGAAGTGGGGTATGGGAGTTGGAAGGTGGCGTTTGGGGGTAACAACTGAGTAGGAGCTGGAGGCTGAGAGAATGCATCTGGGAGGAACTGCTGGGTGGCAGAGAGGTGGCAGTTTGGTGGATGGGAGAAGGAAGATGGCAGCTGGGAGTAACTGTTGTGTGGTTGGTGGGAGTAACTGTTGGGTGGCTAGTGGGAGTAACTTGGGTGGCTGAGAGACAGGCGCTGACAGTTGGGAAGCACCATCGGGGGGAGGGGGCAGTTGGGAGTAACTGTTGGGTGGCTGGATGGTGGCAGTTGGGAGGCACTGTTGGGTGGGAGACGGCAGTTGGGAGTAATCGCTGGGAGACTGGGTGTTGGCAGGTGTGTGGCTGAGAGACGGGCGGTGACAGTTGGGAGGCACTGTTGGGTGGGAGAAGGCAGTTGGGAGTAACTGTTGGGTGGCTAGGTGGGGGCAGGCGTGTGGCTGAGAGACGGGCGGTGACGTTGGGAGGCACTGTTGGGTGGGAGAAGGCAGTTGGGAGTAACTGTTGGGTGGCTAGGTGCGGGCAGGCGTGTGGTGAGAGACGGGCGGTGACGTTGGGAGGCACTGTTGGGTGGGAGAAGGCAGTTGGGAGTAACTGTTGGGTGGCTAGGTGGGGGCAGGCGTGTGGTGAGAGACGGGCGGTGACGTTGGGAGGCACTGTTGGGTGGGAGAAGGCAGTTGGGAGTAACTGTTGGGTGGCTAGGTGCGGGCAGGCGTGTGGTGAGAGACGGGCGGTGACGTTGGGAGGCACTGTTGGGTGGGAGAAGGCAGTTGGGAGTAACTGTTGGGTGGCTAGGTGGGGGCAGGCGTGTGGTGAGAGACGGGCGGTGACGTTGGGAGGCACTGTTGGGTGGGAGAAGGCAGTTGGGAGTAACTGTTGGGTGGCTAGGTGGGGGGCAGGCGTGTGGCTGAGAGACGGGCGGTGACGTTGGGAGGCACTGTTGGGTGGGAGAAGGCAGTTGGGAGTAACTGTTGGGTGGCTAGGTGGGGGCAGGCGTGTGGTGAGAGACGGGCGGTGACGTTGGGAGGCACTGTTGGGTGGGAGAAGGCAGTTGGGAGTAACTGTTGGGTGGCTAGGTGGGGGCAGGCGTGTGGTGAGAGACGGGCGGTGACGTTGGGAGGCACTGTTGGGTGGGAGAAGGCAGTTGGGAGTAACTGTTGGGTGGCTAGGTGGGGGCAGGCGTGTGGTGAGAGACGGGCGGTGACGTTGGGAGGCACTGTTGGGTGGGAGAAGGCAGTTGGGAGTAACTGTTGGGTGGCTAGGTGGGGGGCAGGCGTGTGGCTGAGAGACGGGCGGTGACGTTGGGAGGCACTGTTGGGTGGGAGAAGGCAGTTGGGAGTAACTGTTGGGTGGCTAGGTGGGGGCAGGCGTGTGGCTGAGAGACGGGCGGTGACGTTGGGAGGCACTGTTGGGTGGGAGAAGGCAGTTGGGAGTAACTGTTGGGTGGCTAGGTGGGGGCAGGCGTGTGGTGAGAGACGGGCGGTGATGTTGGGAGGCACTGTTGGGTGGGAGAAGGCAGTTGGGAGTAACTGTTGGGTGGCTAGGTGGGGGCAGGCGTGTGGCTGAGAGACGGGCGGTGACGTTGGGAGGCACTGTTGGGTGGGAGAAGGCAGTTGGGAGTAACTGTTGGGTGGCTAGGTGGGGGGCAGGCGTGTGGTGAGAGACGGGCAGTGACGTTGGGAGGCACTGTTGGGTGGGAGAAGGCAGTTGGGAGTAACTGTTGGGTGGCTAGGTGCGGGCAGGCGTGTGGTGAGAGACGGGCGGTGACGTTGGGAGGCACTGTTGGGTGGGAGAAGGCAGTTGGGAGTAACTGTTGGGTGGCTAGGTGCGGGCAGGCGTGTGGTGAGAGACGGGCGGTGACGTTGGGAGGCACTGTTGGGTGGGAGAAGGCAGTTGGGAGTAACTGTTGGGTGGCTAGGTGGGGGCAGGCGTGTGGCTGAGAGATGGGCGGTGACAGTTGGGAGGCACTGTTGGGTGGGAGAAGGCAGTTGGGAGTAACTGTTGGGTGGCTAGGTGGGGGCAGGCGTGTGGCTGAGAGACGGGCGGTGACGTTGGGAGGCACTGTTGGGTGGGAGAAGGCAGTTGGGAGTAACTGTTGGGTGGCTAGGTGGGGGCAGGCGTGTGGTGAGAGACGGGCGGTGACGTTGGGAGGCACTGTTGGGTGGGAGAAGGCAGTTGGGAGTAACTGTTGGGTGGCTAGGTGCGGGCAGGCGTGTGGCTGAGAGACGGGCGGTGACGTTGGGAGGCACTGTTGGGTGGGAGAAGGCAGTTGGGAGTAACTGTTGGGTGGCTAGGTGGGGGCAGGCGTGTGGTGAGAGACGGGCGGTGACGTTGGGAGGCACTGTTGGGTGGGAGAAGGCAGTTGGGAGTAACTGTTGGGTGGCTAGGTGGGGGCAGGCGTGTGGCTGAGAGACGGGCGGTGACGTTGGGAGGCACTGTTGGGTGGGAGAAGGCAGTTGGGAGTAACTGTTGGGTGGCTAGGTGCGGGCAGGCGTGTGGTGAGAGACGGGCGATGACGTTGGGAGGCACTGTTGGGTGGGAGAAGGCAGTTGGGAGTAACTGTTGGGTGGCTAGGTGGGGGCAGGCGTGTGGTGAGAGACGGGCGGTGACGTTGGGAGGCACTGTTGGGTGGGAGAAGGCAGTTGGGAGTAACTGTTGGGTGGCTAGGTGGGGGCAGGCGTGTGGTGAGAGACGGGCGGTGACGTTGGGAGGCACTGTTGGGTGGGAGAAGGCAGTTGGGAGTAACTGTTGGGTGGCTAGGTGGGGGGCAGGCGTGTGGTGAGAGACGGGCGGTGACGTTGGGAGGCACTGTTGGGTGGGAGAAGGCAGTTGGGAGTAACTGTTGGGTGGCTAGGTGGGGGCAGGCGTGTGGTGAGAGACGGGCGGTGACGTTGGGAGGCACTGTTGGGTGGGAGAAGGCAGTTGGGAGTAACTGTTGGGTGGCTAGGTGGGGGCAGGCGTGTGGCTGAGAGACGGGCGGTGACGTTGGGAGGCACTGTTGGGTGGGAGAAGGCAGTTGGGAGTAACTGTTGGGTGGCTAGGTGGGGGCAGGCGTGTGGTGAGAGACGGGCGGTGACGTTGGGAGGCACTGTTGGGTGGGAGAAGGCAGTTGGGAGTAACTGTTGGGTGGCTAGGTGGGGGCAGGCGTGTGGTGAGAGACGGGCGGTGACGTTGGGAGGCACTGTTGGGTGGGAGAAGGCAGTTGGGAGTAACTGTTGGGTGGCTAGGTGGGGGCAGGCGTGTGGTGAGAGACGGGCGGTGACGTTGGGAGGCACTGTTGGGTGGGAGAAGGCAGTTGGGAGTAACTGTTGGGTGGCTAGGTGCGGGCAGGCGTGTGGTGAGAGACGGGCGGTGACGTTGGGAGGCACTGTTGGGTGGGAGAAGGCAGTTGGGAGTAACTGTTGGGTGGCTAGGTGGGGGCAGGCGTGTGGCTGAGAGACGGGCGGTGACGTTGGGAGGCACCGTCCAGCCGCTGGCTAACCGGCAGGGCAGCAGACTCAGTTCGGGGCTATGTGCTCGGAGGTGCCTCTGAGGGGACTGGAGGAGGCGGGATCTGGTGGGCGGGTGCGGTGATGGGGCTGGAGGCGCAGGGGCTAAGCGCACAGAGGCAGTGTCGCTGCCACCAGCGAGGGGTCCCCGTCACATGGGGGATGAGGGGCTTTGGGTGGCAAGTGTGGTCCGATGTGAGAATTCGGGGAGGGTGAATCATGGTGCGGGACCCGCCCGCGCATGGGGAATCATGGTGACATAGGCTTGGGGGTGGCTGTGCGTGTGGGAACACAACTTTCCTACTGAGGTAATACACGTGGGAGGGACAACAACGACCTTCCCCCCTCACCCCCCCCCGACAGCCGGCATTTGGGCGGGAAACTTCTTCCCGCCCATTCTCCCTGCCCCGCCCTCCCTCACTTCGGACTGAGCCCCGCTCATGTTGCCCAGTCCCTGTCCGCGCCAACCTCTGGCCCCGCCCCGCCTCTCAGTCGCCCGCCCTCATCGCCTGACCCTCAGACCGCCTCCGCCAATCGCCGCCCGGGCCCCGCCCCCTCGCCGCCCGGGCCCCGCCCCCTCGCCGCCCAGCAAAAGCGCTGCCTCCATGCCTCTCTCCTCTCGCACGCCGGCAGCTCGCGCCGTCCCTGGGCTCCTCCACGCGCCCGCCCATCGGGACCCGACGCTCCGTGGGGGGCCATGGCCGCGTGTAGGGACCGCGTCCGCCTCCAGGGCGCCGGGGAGAAGGGCGCCTCCAACGGGGAGATCGGCCCGCGGGACGCCGGCCACGGCGCTCTCGGCCCCGCGCCGGGCTCCCCGTCCAAGGCAGCCCGCGTGCGGGGCTGCCTGCGCGCCAACCTGCTGGTGCTGCTGACCGTGGCCGGGGTGCTGGCCGGGGTGGCGGTGGGGCTCGGCGTGCGGCAGGTGCCGGGCGGGCTGAGCCGCGCCGGGATCCTCGCCTTCTCCTTCCCCGGCGAGCTGCTGCTGCGCCTGCTGAAGATGATCATCCTGCCGCTGGTGGTCTGCAGCCTGGTCTCCGGCGCCGCCAGCCTGGACCCCGCCGCCCTGGGCCGCCTGGGCGGCTGGGCCATGCTCTTCTTCCTGCTCACCACGCTGCTGGCCTCGGCCGTCGGGGTCAGCCTGGCCTTCATCATCCGGCCCGGCCAGGGGGCCGCGCCGCCCAGCCTAGAGGGCGAGGGGGACGGAGCCGTGCCGGAGGCCAAGGAGGTGGCGGACTCCTTCCTGGATCTCATCAGGTGAGGCGCTGGGGAGGGGGCAGAAGCCAGGGGGGGAGCCACGTGTCCCCTGGGGCGGATGCATGGCGGGGGAAGCGGGGTTGCAGTTTCCCCATCCTCTGGAGCGTGTGTGGGGGGGCCTGGGGAGCGTGTTGAGGCCCGCGTCTGAGGCAGGACTTGATCCGGCAGTGAAGGGGAAACGGACACGTGTCGTTCCCGTCTCTCACCCGGATCTAGGGGAGACCCAAGTTCCGGCTGGCCTTGCTGATTCCATCCCGGCTCCAGCTCCGTACCTGGGAGGCTGCAGGTCCTCTCCTTCGCGTGGGTCGCCCTTCAGGTGGACTTGGGGCGGGGGGGGCTTCCTCCCCTCCTAGCGCCGTGATGGTGGCTGCTCCAAGGCCTGGATAGGACAGCTGGGGGCTCTGGTTGCAGGTGGTGGAGTGGGGAATCGTGCTCATCCCCTTTTATCCTATTCTGGTTGATGGCTGGTTTGGGGAGATAAAAAGTGATCCCGTAGTGACCCCTCTGTACTGGCTGTGTTGTGTCTCCATTTGGTGTAATATCTGGTCTCCCTGGCATCACTACTGTGGCTGGGTCCATCCACTTAGCTTCTTACTCTTTTCTGAACAGGTTCCTGAGTTGTATGCAGTGTTGTCCCGGCCTCTTCCCTTCCCCCACATTAAAGCCCCATGTTAGGTACTGCCCTAGATATACGTGGTAGAATCTGCTCTAAGGCAGCTGTCTTAAACTGCCTCTCTGAAGTAACCTCAAAGGCTTTCTACTAATCTTGTTCTACCTTCAGACTCTTGTCCACTGGTAACTAAAGCTCTGTGGGTCCCTTGAGTGTCTGGTTGGTTGAGAGTTTGTAACATGCTGGGATGAAAGATAAGCAAGAAATGTTGGATGAAAATGTGATTTGCCACCTGCACAGCACTCCCCACATCCAGAGATCCCGAGAATGACTTAGTCTCCCAGCCTCCTTTCCCAGTACGGTTGGGGAAAGCGGGATACAGTGTCGGTATCTTGGGCAAGTCACCAAGTGAGTTTATGGCAGAGCTGGGCATGGAACTTGGATCCATTGACTTATAGTCCTGTGTCCTGCTCCCAACTCCATTCTCCTTCTGCCGCCCCCCCCCGCCCCCCCCCCTCTCCCCCTGCTGAAGGCATGTTAAATGCTTGCTGTGGAAAGTGTCTTTTTGCTAATTGAGTCCAGCAAACAGGATCCTATGGGAAGCTTGTAAAGACCTGATTGGCACTTCATGGCTTGAAGTATGTCCAGAATGGTGGGAGATCCAACAGGAGACCAGAGGAATGTGGTAGTCCAACACTTCTGACCCCACAGGGCCTACGCATTTAATTTCCTGTGTCAGACATAAACGTTACATGTCCGTTAGACCACCCCTTCCTCGTGATGTGTATATGCAGAGGCAGCCTGGCCTCTAGGCTGTTAATTCATTAATGCTTAGTTGGCATGTCAAGCTATACAAGTGTTCCCAAAGTATAAAAGGGAGAGATCCCTCTGGGCAGTGCCAGATGCTGACACTCTACTGAGGTTTTACTTTTTTCAGGCTTTACTATTTACAGTAAATATGGTCCATTTGCCGTAGATATTTCCGATCTGATTGCATACTGCTACATAGCAGCCTGCCACCCTGAGAAAGGGAAGGAGACCGCATCATGTTATGGAACCTGATGGCATCTCTCAGTCTCTCTCCTAGGGTAAAGTGCAGGGCTTTTTTAACAAAAAGCTTAGTAGGTGGAGTCTATTTTTGATGGAATATCCCCTTGAATCTGCTCTGTTCCAGGCAACTGCTGAGTCACAGTGACTGGCAATTGAATTCTGGTGTCTCTCCTTGGTAGATGGGGACTAGAGAGGTGGCATGCAGCCCATAAGGAAGAGAATTGTCACAGAACCTGTAACTTGCTGCTGAATGAGTATAGCCTTAGCCTACTCCAAGGCCAGAGCCAGCACAGGCAAAGCTGACTGAGCTCCTGAACCATCAAACGTTCTTTGTTTCTGAATTATATAAATAACTAGATCCCAGTCTGGGTGGAGCAGGGATGTGAGGTAGGCATTATACGTGTGTTGTGACTTGCCCACAGTCATGCAGACTGTGGCAGAGAGGGGATTAGAACCACAAAGACCAGCCTCTTATAGCAACTTTCATACTAGCTTCATGCCCCCTGGAGCTGACTTGTGGGAGGACAGATAACCCCAGATTTCAAACCAATCTGTTCACAGAGCCTTTGTGTTCATCAATTGTGATCTGGGGTTGAGGACCACGTTGTGCTGGTGACATTGTGAGTCTGCCTGGTGGGAGCTGGGATTGGTTGAGCTGCTAGCCTGGACTGGCATTTGGACACAGAGGGTGAAGGAGTTGGGCTTGTAGCTGATGGAGAGAGCCTGTTGTGACAACAGGCTGCTCTGTGTCTGAGAGCTGATGTCTGTCTTGGCCAGCGCAGTATCTTTGATCACTGCACTGCAGAGACACCCAAGTTTCACGATAGCAGCAAGCTCCCGTACTTCATTTGTGTCTATTTACATGCTTAAATCTGATGCCCTGTTTGTGTCCCTGTTCCTGTTTTGATGGATGAACAGAAATTTCTTGTTGCAGGAGTTTTCTGTCAGCTAACCCCCAAAATCCCTGCATAGATGACTTGCGTCCTAGCACCACACTTAAGAGGGTGATGCCTATTGGCCGGAGAACTCCTTAGCTGTGTTTTGGACACCTGCTTCGAACTGCCCTCTGTTCTGTTGACTCCTTGGCTGAGGTGCTGCTGTGTCCCGAACAGCCTGAATCTCCTCCTTTCGTTGGAACAGCCTGTCAGCATTTCCCCTGTTCCTGGTAAAATCTCAACATCTTATGCATGAATCATCTGAAATGAGTCACCAGAACTGACATTTGAATAGTTGTGCAGGAAACAAATTCCAGTCTTTAGGGTTTTTTTATGGGCTTTTTATGTGGCTTGGGGCTAGCAACCTAGCTCTGAACAGCCATCTCTTGCCCAAGGGTTCCAACATAGTGCTCTGCCAGTGGTTAGCTTCCATGTAAGCCAGTGTCTTGTGCTGAAACTCCCTCACTTCAGGGGAATGAAAATCTAGCTTGCATTAGATGCCCTGTTTTCTTTAGGGACCAAATTAGGTGCCGGGGGGGGGTCACTACTGATCCTGTCTTTGTACAGTGACCAGATGTCCAGATCTTATAAGGACAGTCCTGATTTTGGGGGGCTTTTTCTTATATAGGCTCCTATTACCCCTGCCCCTGTCCTGATTTTTCACACTTGCTATCTGATCACCCTATGTCTTTAGGAAGTGGCAGGGGGGAGTGTGATATAGGTAGGGTGACCAGAGAGCAAATGTGGAAAAATTGATATGAGGGTGGGAGGTAATAGGAGCCTATATAAGAAGAGACCCAAAATCGGGAGTGTCCCTATAAAATTGAGACATCTTGTCACCCTCGTTGTAGGTGGAGCCCTGTCTGTCTGATGCAATGTTGACTGTATGTTGAGCCTGCTGCCAGGCAAAGAAGTGCTGCATGGGGTGGGGTTGAGACTGAAACCACTGCTCTGGGCAGGCATTCCAGCCTAGCCATGTGGAGGCTGGGTTGGGGGATGGTAAAGCAGAGCTTTGAACTGTCAAGGGTTAACTGCTAAAATGAAGCTGTCTGCCTCAAGTCTAGAAAAAAGGCTAAAAATAGTTCTTTGGGTGTCTTTACCTCCTAGGAGCACCTGTGTAGCTTTATCTTTAGCCCAAGGGCAGCACAAGAAGTCAGTGGTCTTTGGGGAGCACCACTAGAATAGTAGGGTGGAAAGGTAAGAGGGTTAATTAACCCATACAAAATAGGGAAGACTATGTTCTAAAATAAGAAATAGCAGCCGAAGTGTTCTCTTCCTGGTGGCGTTGTTGCATGTGTTTTTTTTTTTTTGTGAACTGGTTTGTTTCCTTGCCTTTCTCAAGGGAGAGTTAAGGGCAGCCAATGCTTGAGTTGCTTGGCTTTGTCTGGGTCAGGGAGGCAAATGTCTCTTACAAAAGAGGAGAAATCTCTAACTGCCTATTGCCCATAAGTATTATTGCCTTTTGTCTAAGTTCAAATAGGCAAAATTATAACCTCTATTGCTATTACGTTGAAAGGTGCTCCTGGGTGCCAGCAGGTGTGGCTGGGATCCAAAGACTATCACAACCCTTGTTATAGTCTGTGGGTTTGCCAGGTACTCCTGGAGCATGTCTGCATTTAAAAGTTAATTCAGATTCAAGTATGTTGTGAATTCAAAGCTCAATAGCTATCCCTGAATAACTGTGTATAGACAAATCCTTGAACTACATCTTCACTATCCTTTCCCCTCCCCACCCCCTCCCCAAAAAAAGTGGGTAGGTCTTTATTTTGTTTACAGCAGGAAAGCTGTTTGTACAGACCTCACCCAGCTACCTCATTACAATCTCTTCCCTTTGCGTATGGTTGACCTCACTTAGTTTACCTTGTAGTAAAATGACAGGGTCTTGTCACCACCAGGATTGTATAGCCGGATAGATAACATGGGTGTTTAGCTCATGGTAAAAATGCACTTTTTGTCCATGAAGACTCAGACTTGGAAGCAATTAAGCCCCTCTGTGTAGTAAAAACAGCTGCAGACAATGGGGGACTACCACTAGGATGCATAGTAGGTCAGAGTAAAGCTGAGTGGACTGAGTTGCCAACGAAGGAGCTGGAAGTTGGTGTTGGATGCAGCGAGCCAGGACAAGGAATTGTGAGCATGACCCTCAGAGGAAGCTTCTTGGGCGTAGAGCGTGCTGGAATGGCAGGCTTAGGAATTTTGGAGCAAAGAAACTGCCTCCTGGGAAACATGACCCTGTGGATGTTTTTGAATAAACAAGGTAACACCAAGAACACTGACTCCTCTATTTCTCTTCTGAATAGAAATGACCTTGCTGGGCCCTGGATATTGGCCAGTTGGTCAGGCCAGAGGGGCCACTCTGATCATTAGCTCTAGTTAGCCAGTCTCCTCTAAGACACCCCCGTTTG